GGCTGAACAAATATTATGAGGAAATGCTTTTGTGAAGGTTGTCGGTTGCCCTTCTTGCAGCAAACAAACATGGAAGTGTTGTCAATGAGGCAGGTATGAAAATTTAAAGAAGAACTCTTGAAGAAGCCAGAAAATGTTCTCTTACGTGTGCATTCTCATTTTGAAATCTTCCTTTTCGGACAGATTCTGCAATGCACATTTCTTACTTTTTTGGCATACCAGGTCTCACCTCCCCCAGGCATGGGGAACCACAATTAGCAACATACAGCAGATGATAAATTTTTCAGCAAAATTTTTCAAGTCTCAGGCTTTGCCAGACAAACCTTAGTTTGGCCAGAACCGTAGATTCACTGGGCCTGGGCCATCTCAGCCAGAATGTGTTGTGTTCGCTGGACTTCTTTTTGCTAAATGCGAGGCAGGAGGTTGATCGGACGTTTTGTGGACTCCTGGCAGTCTGCCTTGGGCCTTGTGCCTGGCGTCTTGAGGATGGACCTCCCAGGTGGAGGGGACCCGGGTTCACAGGGCTTCAGGCCAGTCTGTCTAGTCATAATTGCTCACAGACTCATGGTTGGTAAGAATTGCCGTTGACTTTTCCTCTTGTTTTCCCCAAATGTGTGCCAGTAGAGCCTTTGTAGCAATCCTGCACATCACATCACATCAGGGAGCTTATCACGTAGACAAGGACACCCCATGACTTATGAGGTGGGAGAATGTGCTGTCTGTGAGCAAGTGGGGACTAATGATGAGTTAGGGGGACCACCAGTCATGGAAATGCTTTCTGTTGTGGCCAGACTTTGGTCGTTTCTCTTACTGGTCTTTAGCTAAAGTAGAGTTCATGTAGTTTTTAGGGAGGAGTTGTTTTCTTTAATAAATTATTTTGTGTGAATGCTCACAAGAGTGCAGAAACCTCAGCAATAAAGGTCTGCAGGCCAGACTAACAGGGCTAAATTTTCTCATTTTCCTCTCCATGGCCTTCATACTCAGACCCTCAGCTAGTATGACTGTGGTCTTTTGTAAGCAGGCCACAACAAGCTTAACCTTGGGCAAATCAATTAGGATGTTTTAGGCCTTTTACAGCCCTCAGAGGAAATTTCTCCTCCATCTTGGTCAGGGCCACGTAAACCAGCTGAAGGAGAATTACACTGCTCCTCCTCAGCTTTACAGGGTGCATTGTTTGTTCTGCAGGGTTTTATTCTCCAGGACATAAAGACCTGGCAAGTTGTGTCTCTTCTTGCATGACTTTGGTCACACAGTGACACGGTGCTCACTGCCATGGCACTCCACATGACTTACATCACTCTTGTATGCGCGAAGCCCGTGTCGGAAGAAAGCTTAAGCTAGAAGATACACAAAACCTTCTGAGACCACTATTTTCTCATGTAAATTGCATTTAATGAAAATATCTGACACACAGAGTACTTTGTTTTCATTTTAATTAGCAATCATGGTTGCTAATTAAAGTAATACCAAAATAATTGTGTCATAGCACTGAAGTGACATATAAATTTTCCACGCCAGAAAAATAAGATTATGACCTCCAGTCATAATTCTCGAAGAGATGATGCTTTCCTAATACTTTCACAATGCTTAATTCAATCCATGTATCACACACAATAATTATGTAGCTTTTGATGTACGCTGCAGTAGTACTGTACTGCTTAAAACTGCGGAGATCTCAACAGTCCATTTAAAGTTTCAGTGCAACTAGCTGCTAATTTAAGGTTCTCAGAATCTGCTTTAAAATATGTTTTATTAAAGATTTATTAAAGATCTCAAACCTTCGTTGCATGTTAAAATATCATAATCTACAGTTTTGTTGGTATTGCTTTCCTGCATTTGATACCTTCACTTAGACTTATCTTTAAGATGTATATTAAAGAGAGTAATACTAAAGGAAACAGTCTTCTTTCAAGAATAAAAGAAAGGCACATCCTCCACAAACAGCTAATTCATGCAGCGTGACTCTTTGATTATATAGTCTAGCAATACGTAAGTGTTGGAAGTGGCACAAAAGATCCTAGAGAAAACTTCTAATTGATTAATTCAGCAGGGTGGCACAGTGTAAATGATTGGTTTTAGTCTACTAGGCCTCCTTCTGACCTTTTTGGAGACCCTGTGAATCAACTTGAATAGCCAAATTTGAATACAAATGGCAATATGACAATAGCACACAATTCTTTAAAGCAAACGTTTCCCAGCATTTTCATGCACCAAATTAACTGTGAGAGGATTAAAAAAAAATCACCAAAGACCAACTAATTACAAAAATGTCCTTAAATAGTAAAAATACTAATGTCAATGGTAAAGATCACTACTAAAAGTAGTGATCTGATCTGACTATATTATTTTTAGACAACAAGGAGGATGCAAGCACTGCATTAAGGACTCTAGCAGAAAGGGTTGATAAAGTTATGATAGATTTTTGGGGTCACCATGTTATTTTTCCTATTTGTATTGGGATTTGCTACAGCTTTTCTAAACCAAGCCAAGAGCGTGTTACACTTATTTAAACTATCATTACTTCGCCAGTCAACATACAGAATTTTAGTTACCTGGGCTGATACTTCTGCTTTTCAGGTGGAATTTAGGAGAAGAGTGAAGAAATACAACCAAGAGTTACCAAAACGGCAAGTGGTTGTTGCAAGCAGAAAGCGGTACGTTTAGCAGGCGCATTTTCAGTCTAATGCAACATTTTTTCTCTAAATGCCTGCAACAACATCCAGGGACCTGGTGAATCTTTTTCCTGAACTTTCCTGATCTTTCTCCATGGTTTCCTTTTCACAGCCTCTGCAGAAGCAGCTCTGGCTCTGGTAGGAGCCTGGGCTGTGCTGTCATAGCAACTGGCACATACACCGTTTATGCCTCAGGTTGTGAAGCGAGCCCAAAATAACAAACCCCTTTCAGCAGGGACTCCGTGTAACATGAACGGCTGTGTTTGAGTTGCAGCGAGAGTAAATGCCAATAGCTTGGTCCTCAGGCTTTGGCAAACTCCTGCTGCTGTTCTGACCCTGCTTTAGAAACTGCACAGATCTCTTAAAAATAGAGGTGATTTTATGATTTTACTGATCCTCCTGCTCAAGTGTAATACTTGAGCACTGGTTAAGCTTTTAAAAATAATTATTTCATTGTAATGATTATTATAAACAATTCTTTTCATGTGACAATCCTTACTTCATGTGAAATATACCCATGTTGACAGGACAGCAAGCCGGTTGTGGCTGTGGAAGAGCCCCTTGCTCTGTGGAAGGAAGGTTACAACTGCCCCCTCCATGCCTGTCCCTCCCAAAGAAAAACGCTTTTTGGTAGCATAGCTTTTGGGAGCTCCCTTGGGCCCTGTCCTGAGATGGGGCCCTGCAGTAACGTGGGTCTCAGGCCCTGGCATCCATGGTAGAGATTGTGCACTGAGGGTTCACCAGGATAAGCAGGCCTCAGACCTGCAGTTTGAGAGGTGAAGAAGCTTTTATCTTTGCCAGCTTCCCCCATACAAAGTTAATTTTGCAGTTTGCTCACAAGGGATGGGATCAGCTGAGTGCTGCAGGAGGGGGAAGCATGGAAGTGTTTGCTTATCAAGGGTATTTAAGTATCAAATCAAACTAAACCCAAGTCATCACACCCTACAATTGCAGATAATTTCACTTAACAAGGTACAAGTGTGTTTTTAGATATCACGGTTTTCCTTTTTAGCTATCATGGGATTAAGAATTCCCTGGGCTAAGGCCTGAGAAGGAAGGGGGGGTCCAAGAGAGCTGGTTAATATTCAAGCAGGGCTTCCTCCAAGCTCAAGATCAGTGCATCCCAATGGGTAAGAAGGCAGGCAGAGGGGCAGGAGACCTGTGGGGATGAGCAAGGAGCTCCTGGCAAAACTCAAGCAGAAGAAAGCAGTGTACAGAATGTGGAAAAAAAAAAAAGGACAGGGCCCTTGGGAGGAATATAGAAATGTTGTCGGGGAAGGCAGGGGTGTGACAAGGAAAGCTAAGGCACATTTGGAATTAAATCTGGCAAGGGATATTAAAGACAACAAGAACAGCTTCTTCAGATATATCAGTGGCAAAGGAAGATGAGGGAAAATGTGAATCTGCCGGTGAACAAGGTGGGTGCCCTGGTTATGAAAGACACAGGAAAAAGCAGAGTTGCTGAATGTGTTCTTTGCTTCACTGTTTACGAAGGGCAGCCTTCAGGAATCTCAGACCCTAGGGACAAGAGGAGAAGCCTGGAGAGAGAAGGACTTTCCCTGGGTAGAGGAAGACTGGGTGAGAGAACACTTTAGGGAAAATTAATTTCCATGTATCCTTCTGTGGAGATCCTCAAAACCCGCCTGGATGCCACCCTGTGTCATGTGCTCCAGGTGACCTTGCGTGTGCGGGGGGGTTGGACTAGATAATCTCTAGAGGTCCCTTCCAACCTTAAGGATTTTGTGATTCTGTGGTGAGGACCTTTTCAGGATGGCTGTGACTCAGTTCTGTACACATTTTTCATCTTAAAAATTGCTAAACTCTCAATAGTTATTTATATTCAAAAACTCTTATTATGATCGTAGAGAAAACTGTGAAATTATCACAGAGTATAACTGAACAGCTACATCTCCCTGAAGGATTTATTGCTTGAGTGAGATACCAGGACAGACCTTGTTGGCTAAAACCAAGAGGATCTTTATTCACAGGCCTGTGTCTCTGGACCAGGGAACCAAGCAGTTCCATCTCCATGGGACTGCTTGGAATAAGGGCTCTATTTCCATTATGCATTCATGGGAAAAATGCCACTGAAGGATGCACCTGAGTCCAGCTCCAAAGGGCACAGGGCTAACACTCATCTGCTGCAGCTGCAATCAGAAAGGGCTGCAGCAGCAGGCCCAGCACCACAAGCAGAGTGTTAATGAGTAATAATTAGTTCATTGAAGAGCCCTGGGCCTACCTCAGGTGTGTAGAAAGGAGGATTTCTTTTTTTTCTAATTTGATGTCAGGTTTAACTGCAGAGATGTTATCAGTTAAACCTCATCTCAATATAAGTAAGATGCTACTGTGTTGTAATTCCTGCTGTGAAAGTTGCTGAAACAGAGAATTCTCTAACAAGCATCGGGAGACATTGAATAGACCTACTGTATACATATGTAAGTAAAGTATTAATTGTTCAGGTTTTAAGCCATGCAAGGCTATATGATGCTAGGAAAGTAAAAGGAACCTAACCAATTAGAGACAACCTGAATTACTCTCTCTTCTTTCTTCTTAGAAGTTGTTTTTCTTCTCTGTTTCAAAGTTGTCTGACGTTTTTGGGTTACGCTTTAGGAATCCAATGCGGGAGCCTAGCTTTGTACTGCCATTCCAAACATGAAATACTTTCATTATGAGCCATCCCACCCCTTCCCCAAATAGATCCTGAGCTCCTTTCAGCATCAGTTTTAAATAGAAAGGATAAGTAGGGTAAAGCTACTTTATCTTCCATATTTTCCATCAGCCTGATACCTTTTGACCTGGTCAGGCTCTGAGGTCCCTACTGATGTTTTCTCCCATCAGTGCAGTGAGATATTGATCTTGTCATGCTCATGAATTAGCAGGAGCTCAGGTAACGCAGAGGCTCTTGCCCTGCAGACCATAGTTCCGTAACTGTGGTTCTGGACACTGTCATGCTGTGATTCAGCAAATACCACAGCTACCCTAGTGTTATAGTTCAAGTTCAGTCTCAGATTTTATACTGTTTTAAAAGACCTAGTTTGGCCCAATTTTTTTTTTGTTTCCTTTGTTTTTTAAAGGAAAGTTCCAGTTTATAAGGCTGTATGTAAAGGTTATGAGGGTTGAGAACTTGATGAGTAGTGTATTGTTATTTCACTCTCCACTGTTTTCTTAGCAGATAGAAGTTGGTTGGTTTTTTTTTGTTTTGTTTTTCTTCCAGTTATTTTCTTAATGCTTTAAAATCCTGAAACCCCGAAATTGAAAATTTGAGCTTAGTCTTTTTGTTGTTTTATAAAATGCTAGTTCTCTTTCAGGGGACTTATATCAGTAACCTGTCTGCCATATTGGAGCAAGTGGCGCAACTCTTTTGGAAGCAGAGCATTTTGTTTGTCACAAATGTGAAAGCACCTTGAGGAAGGTGTCTTGGAGAACAACTGCTATGAAATTAGAAGTGAAGAGCTTACTGAAGAAGAAGAAAGGGCGTGAGTTCTAAATAAAATAAAACTATTTTGTCATTTTAATCACGCAATGGAAAAGGGTAATTTTGAACGGGAAGCCACCATTGCTCTCAGCATTTGGGTAATGCATCCTGATATTAGTTGTATGTGTTCATTGCTCAGAAAGCAGCTTATTTTGCTTATTGAATATAGGTGCTTTGGAAATACTTCTCTAATTCCTTTTTCCTCGAGAGGAACTCCCAGCCCTCACTGAATTACTAAAGCTCAGCTGTGAGCAACTACAGCCTGTGCTGGCTTTTGAAGAGGGCTTCCCAATGGTCCCCAGGAGCCTGTGACTTAAATGGAAGGCTGCGACCAGAGCTCTGAAGCTTTGACAAGTGGAAGTGATGCCTGTAGTATAGGATCATAATCCGGAAGAGATTAAAAACAGGTTCAGCAGAAATACAGTGCTATAGATGTCCCTGAAGCCGGCTTTATCCTGATTGGGTTTAAGTCTTTACCTGAAAAGACCTGAGCTTGATTCTTTAGCCTTTTAAAATGTTACAATCTTTTATCTGGATTTTTCAAACAACATGCTCAGGTTAGTAAGCACTCTTTCTCTGCTGACTGTCCTGTTGCTTTTACGACTCCCTCGTGTATTTTCCATCTCGATACCCATGGCGTTTTGCACTCTGTTCAGGCATTACCTGTTGCTTCCCACCTTATTTTTTCAATGTGTTATTCCTTACTCAGGTTGAAAGGATTAATAGGGCTAAAAAGCTTAAGTAAACTAGTTGTTATATTTGGCACAGGCTGCAGTACCTATGCTGCAGACACTAAAAACACTCTGTTTAAATGACCAGGTTTGCATCAGCTCAGTCACTGTATCTTGAACTGCTCATAACTGATCAACTCCTACCTGCTCTTTCCAAGTTACAGTGATGACTTGCATGACTGGGACTTTTCGTGGCTATCTTTATCCATCTCAGAAGTTTGGGGCTAGCCTAAACCCCCAGCTGTGGAGAACCCTGGGATCCCTAAAGGAGGATCTCACCCATCCCCTGAGAAAGGGGCTGAACTGCCCTGGTGCCTCAGTCTGGCATCAGTGCTAGGCCCGTGCTGAGGACCCGGCCCTCGTGTAGGGCTCTCACTGCTGGGCCAAGTTACGTTGGGACGAGGCTCTGTGCTGTGCCCTTCCCGTGGGAGCCAGCGGTGTGCGCCAGTTCCCCTTTCCGCTGCACTGCATGAGGCGAACGCCTCCAGGTGGGATTTGAGTGCGAATGGCCCTGTTCCCCCCTGGGAGATTTAATTCTTTGGATTTCATGTTAAGTAGTTACCTAAGCTGCTTAGCACAAGGCATTAGGTAATGTAACCTGCTCTGAGGCTGTGGGGCTTGTAGTTCACCAGAATAGGGGAGCTCTCTCTTGTGAATGTAATAGCTGTGATCCAAATAAATGGAAACAGTTGGATATAGCAGGACAGAGTTATTTCCTTACACTGCCTCTCATTCTTGGCAAGTGCTGTTTTATGCATAGACAAAACTCATTTTAAGCCACCCAAATGGTGGGAGAATTTCCGTGGCTGTAGGTCTTTGTTGTATTCAGTAGTTGTGATCTAATGCCCAGATACTTTTAGTGACACTTCACAGGGTGTCTGTAAGCATTTTGTATCGGGGCAAGGAGAAGAAGTGCTCTTTTAATACCCGCTCTTGCCTCAGTGCTGTGCTTCCAAACTGATGGTGGGAGGTCAGGCGAGACCCTTACTGCTCTGTGTAAGAATTAGCATATTGGCTCATAATTCAGGCCCTATTGTGTCCAAAGGGATAAGACTGAGAAGGCTTTATATGCCAAGTCTAAACATGCCATGAACCCTCCGAAGGACAGGAAAACAAACATAAAACTTTCTCCTTTCTTAAGCTACCAAAGTCTTCATCTTTCTTGCTCAGGTAACTGCAATTATTGCCTCTTTCCTGGGAATTATGAATATAAGCACCTGTGAATTATTATAGGCTGCACAACTACCTATTAAGCATTTTCACTGCCACCTGCTCTGTTGGGGGCTGCTGTGGGTTGCTGTGCAGCTTTTGGATTGCCTGGTTATAATGGGTAACAACAAAGTGGTTTCAGCTGCTCTGAAACGGATCTAAAACAACTGCGTGGATCAGTGGGGGAGGGATATTCAAAACAAATCATGCAAATGCTCTTGAGGTTGATCATGAAGACTTACTGATATGAAGTCCTTAGTATTTTACTTTGTTCTCAAAACCTACCTATAAACCTGTCATGATTTTCCAGTTACTGAAGACTCCAGTTACTGAAGGAGCATACCTGGGAACAACTGGAACAAAGGCTCGGTGGGGAAAAAGGTTTTGCCCAGGCACAGCTGAGCGTTAGTCACACTTGGTATTCTGGTACCATGTGCTGAAGGGGCAAGAAGACCAGGAGCGGAGCGGAACCCTTGACAATTTTTAAATCCATCAATTTAAATCCAGTCTGAATAGAGGCCTTGAAGTGGAAACACTTTATGCCCACGCAAATATCAGAATGTTTCATGGAACATTCTGCATTTGGGTAAGTTACAATATATTTTTCTGGAGAACATTTCCCTTAGGAAATAGGCAAGATATAGCTCTTGTATCTGATATTTCACAAACTTCATTCATTCACAGGAAAACAATCTCCTCCTTCCTACCCAAGCAAGCACCACTTAAAACCTATCACACTGTTACTGAGAATGAGTAGGACAAATGACATGCTTCTTGACTGCCATTAAAGGGTAGGTTAAAGTAAGGCTCATCGATTAACTTGCAGAAGTTTGTTTTCCATTTATGAATAAGAAAAAATTATCTGTATGTTTTTAGCACCAAAGGCTTGTATAAATTTACTTTTTCTTCTTTTTTTCTATGAACCAATTACACAAGACATAAAATACAACAGGTTTTGATATTACGTATTGAGTTTTTGCCATCTTTCACTTCCAGATGAATCTCTTAGTTCTCATTTTCTGGGTGTGGGGTTTTTTTTTTTTTTTGTGACAATTGATTTTTTTAATTTGGAATCAAATTGAAAAACTGTGAAGACATTTTCCTATCTCAATTTCACAGTCAATTTGAGGCAGTAATAGTGATAGACTATGAAATTACTCCAATAGGTATTGCTGGCGAGGAAAAAAAGTACACAACAATATATACTTGATCAGATTTGATCAAAGCTCATCCTTGATGGCTCTAGACAAGGCGCTTAGTCTTTCTGCTGAGCTTTCCCCAGCTGTGAAATGGAGACAATAACATTCGTCCCTTTTGCTAAGTCCTTATGACGACTTGCTCTGTTGTAAAATGATACAGATGATGCAATCGGGCAGAAGAGCTGCAGAAAGGTAAGACGAGGGCCTCACAGATTCACAGAATATTTAAGGTTGGAAGGGACCTCTACAGATCATCTAGTCCAACCTTCCTGCTCAAGCAGGCACACCTACAGCATGTGGCACAGGATGGCATCCAGGCGGGTTTTGAAGACCTCCAGAGTAGGAGACTCCACAACCCCCCTGGGCAGCCTGTTCCACTGCTCTGTCACCCTCACAGTAAAGAAGTTCCTCCTCACCTGGAGACGGAACTTCTTGTGCTTCAGCTTGTGGCCATTACCCCTCGTCCTGTCGCTGGCCACCAGTGAGAACAGCTTGTCGCCTTCCTCCCTGCATTCTCCCTTCCTGAACTTATACATATTAATCATATCCCCTCTGAGCCTTCTCTTCTCCAGAGAAAACAGGCCCAGCTCACTCAGCCTCTCTTCATACGAGAGATGTTCCATTCCCTTAATCATCCTGGTTGTCCTTCTCTGGACCCTCTCCAGAAGCTCCACGTCCCTCCTATAGTGGGGAGCCCAGAACTGCACACAATATTCCAGGTGCGGCCTCACCAGAGCTGAGTAGAGGGGCAGAATCACCTCCCTTGACCTGCTGGCAACGCTCCTCCTGATGCAGGCCAGGATCCCATTGGTCTTCTTGGCCACGAGGGCACACTGCTCACTCATGGTTAACTTAGTGTCAACCAGGACTCCCAGGTCCCTCTCTGTGGAGGTGCTTTCCAGCAGGTCGACCCGTAATCTGTACTGATGCCTGGGGTTATTCCTCCCCAGGTGCAGGACCCTGTACTTGTCCTTGTTGAACCTCATGAGGTTCCTCTCTGCCCAACTCTCCAGCCTGTCCAGGTCCCTCTGGATGGCAGCACAGCCCTCCGGAGTGTCGGCCACTCCACCCAGCTTGGTGTCATCTGCAAACTTGCTCAGGGTGCATTCCGTGCCCTCGTCCAGGTCATTGATAAACAAGTTGAACAGCCCTGGGCCCAGCACTGACCCCTGGGGGACACCACTGGCCACAGACCTCCAACTGGACTCGGCCCCATTTATCACCACCCTCTGAGCTCTGCCATCCAGCCAGCCCTCAATCCACCGCACCGTGCACTCGTCTAGTCCACTGTCCCAAAGCTTCCGTATGAGGATGTTATGGGAGACAGTGTCAAAAGCCTTGCTGAAGTCAAGGTAGACAACATCCACGGCTCTCCCCTTGTCCAGCCAGCCTGTCACCCCATCATAGAAGGCTATGAGGTTCGTCAGACATGACTTCCCCTTTGTGAATCCATGCTGACTGCTCCTCAGCAGCTTCTTCTCCTCCATATGCCCGGAGATTCTCTCTAGGATGAACCGCTCCATCACCTTTCCAGGGACAGAGGTGAGGCTGACCGGCCTGTAATTGCCCGGCTCCTCCCTCTTGCCCTTTTTGAAGACTGGAGTGACGTTGGCTTTCTTCCAGTCCTCGGGCACCTCCCCTGCTCTCCAGGACAAACAACCTCTCCAGGACAAACATCCTCGCAACCTCTGAATCCCCAGGTGACACTACAAGACAGCAGAAGCTGTTCAAAAAGCCTTGTCAATCATGGAGCCAGCCGAAATTTCTAGTTTTCCTTCCCGCTTCAGGGATATACAATCATTTTTCTGTGTGTGGAATTTTGCCTTTTTTGTCTAAGCATTGTCTATGACATTTCAGGAGAGCCCACAGAATCATCTGCCTCCCAGATCTTCAAGGCCTTACTATGCTACTGGTGACCAGTAGCCAAATATGTTTGGGGAACAGCACCAAAAGCTTTGCAGACTCTTTAGCACAAAATTTAGACTTGCTCTGCTCCTCTGGTTATTACTAGCATGGTTCAAACTCAGTTTCCAACCCAGACACGAGCAGGACTTTGTAGCTTGCTTTCTCAAGGGAACATTTTATGGATGATCACACTGTGATCTTTCCGTTAATAGTTTTGGAACCACTGGCCAGTTTCAGACAGATTTAGTTGTGAAGCAGTAGTCTTGGAGACCCTAAGTTCCTACAAGGTTCATGAATAGTGTGTGTCTGGATGATGAAGAAGAAGAGAGAGAGGAGGAGAGAAAAAACAAACAAACAAAAAAACGCACTTTGACTAGTTTGAGAGAACCCGTGGAGGAGGGAGATGTTATGGATACCCCCAGTTCAGGGAAAAAAAAAAATCACTAGTTTTTCCCTCACTGGGGAATCCAAGGAAAGCAGGCTTCATCAGTTCCATTATCACTTTTTAGAGCAGCATCATGAACCTTATTTTTTTCTTTTCCATTTCTCTCACGTGAATGGAATCGCCCCTTGCTGAGAGGTGGGAACCAAGAATAAATTTTGTGAATGTTAGCAGTCTATCGGAGCGCTTTGCTGGCACAAGCTTCATTGCATTCCCTTGGCTGGAGGGGAATAGCGGACCCAAGATAGCGCGGGAAGCTCTGCTCACCATTTGAAAACCCATCATTGTTCAAGGCAGCATTTTTGCCATGAACACACATGCCTGCAGGGAGCTTCCTTCGGGGGCTCAGCTGTAAAATGGGGGCCACGTTGGCAGGCATGAATGGAGGGCTGTGAAAATCCTCAGCCTTTGAAGGGGTAATTTAAAAAGGAGCTGCAATGACAATCTGCAATCATACTGACTTCGGAAACCGTCCAGCAGTAGTTTCGTTAATGGATTTTTTTTTTTTTTAATTCTAAATTGTGCTCTCATAAATAGACGAGTACCACAAGTCCTGCAATGGCCCTCTGAGTGGGATCCCCTGTGTCTGGGTACGAGGAACGTGCAAGGACCAGACGCCTGTGACTGGCCTCTTGGCGTGGGGCTCACGGACAGCCGTGCTCCTTGGCTGGCACAGGTTAGCGATCTAGTGGAGGACGACAGAAGCTGTTCCTAGGAGTAAAGCCCCACGTTCAGTCTTCTAAGTGATTAGTATTCTCTTAGTATCATTCAGTATGTATATGCGTTTAATATATATTCATCTTTTTCTTTCTGCTCTGCAATGCCACCCACGATGAGACAAAGGCACCCACTCGAAGGGACACGCTAAGATGACACGGCTGTCAACTGAAGAAGCCTCCTTCAATTATTCAGGAGTCTCTCCCCGTCTCGAATATCCCGTTCCGCCCGCGTTTGGCGGCAGCTCTCGCTAACATGAACACCAGCCGGCGCTGGGCAGGTATCTCCTTCTGTGGTAAGTACTGAAAAAGAGCAACCTCGTGGCAAGCAGTTTCCATATACGTTCCCACATGGTCTGCCAAATATGTTTTTCTTTTTTTTCTTTTTTTTTTTTCTTTTTTTTGGTGAAGAGTTGGAAACTTCAGATGCAAAATGCAAAAGGTAGATACAATCCTAAGCAGACATGAAACATGACTATTCCCTTTTTTTTCTCCTCTGTTAACAACCAGAAAACAGAGCATAAAGCCAAAACACTAACATGCCTGCAGAGCAGCACACGCTAAAGCCGAGGCGCAGCTGAGCCCAGGCGGGCAGATCAGGGCCCCTCACACGGGCTGGGTTGTTGTGGGTCCAAGCGGGAATGACAACGCACACCACATTGCTTTCCTGGCTGCGCTGAAATGCCGGGAGCGGAGCAGCCAGGACCCGTTCCGGGCAGCCCCTCGGGCTCTGCTCTGCACCCCGCTGCACAAGGGAGGGCGGTTGCCCCAGGCCCCCAGCCAGGGGGTCCCACCACGGCCGGGCTCGCGACACTTACTGCAGAAGCGCCGCCGCCGGGAGCGCCGCCGCCGCAGCCGTGTCCTCACCCAGTGCAGGCATGGCGCCAGGTCCATGGCCGCCCAGCGTGGTGTCGCCGGCTGCGCCCGGCGCCGGCGGCCGCACCTGCGGGCCGTGCGGCCCCGCAAGCGGGCCGGGGCCCCGGGGTGTCCGCTGGGCCCCAGCGTGGCGGCAGCCCCGCTGATCCCCAGGGTATGGCTGCTGCGGCTCGGTGGCTGCCGTGCTGCCTGACCATGTTTTATGCATGGGCACCGTGTAATTTCATCCGGCGCTGTCCTGTGCTGTGGGGGCAGCGAGCTTCAGGGAAAGGCTGGAGTGTGCTGCGTTCCCGAGGAGGGAGATGGAGAAGCGGGGCAGTTTTCGGCCTCTCCGGTCTCCCTGCCTGCTTTAGCATGGCCCATATAGCGGTAGGAGTGTCCAGGTAAAGCCAGGCAGTGGGCTGCCATTCCGACCGCATGGCACCGCCAGACACCAGGTCACAGCGGGGGCTGGAAACACCAGGCCCGCAGAGCTGGATACAAATGTTGACAGGAATGGTGTGAGCGATGCCTCCGCACAACGCTATTTCTCCACGCGGCTCTTCCCTACACCGCAATGAGGACGCGTCCACGTGCCTGCCCCAGTGACACACTCATGGGCAAAAGCAGAGGATGGAAGCAGCTCTGGCTTGTGAGAGCTGCATCACAAATAGATAGGCGCCTTCCTCGCGGGTCGGACCCTGGAGGTCCCCTTT